ATATTTGTTTCTGGTTCCTATCAGGGGGGATTTCAGAAGAATCAATCCTTTTTATTCACTCTAAGTGAAAATAAAACCATATACTGTCTACCTTGCAATGTTAAAAAAGAAATAATTCTAGATTATATTCTATGGATTTACATACATTTTTAAATAACTGAAAAAAATGCAGCTAACACTTTAAAAAGCCCACACTCCTTGGGGTTTACCCAACAGGAATATCAGAGATACCCGACTGCTTCTCCAGGATATTAGACCACCAGTGACTTCAGCTCTTGGTAACCTCACAAATGTTATAAACTGAATTAGAAAGCAAAATGCATCATATTTGGAGAACAAGAGTGCTCTATCTCTGTATTTTTTTTTCTAAGAAACATGAAGGAAAGAAGAATGAGAATGAAGCTTTTAAAGTTTGAAAGTCTCTGAGAAAACATCTTCCTTCATACAAGTATGTGTTTTTGTCTTGCGCCAATTCAGGAGCTGCTATGGATACCCATGCTTAGAGAGAGAAATTTCAGGAACATTTAGATCTTAAAAACTCAGGAAATTTAATTTTACTCTAAAAACATTCATTTTTAAAATACATTTTTTTTAAGTTAGGCCTAAACTTTAACAGTGTGGGAGATAGCACATTTGACACACTGCATTGTAGGAACTGCCAGCTTCTACCTAGTTGTTGGCAACACTACTTTTGAGTATTTTTTTCCAGTGAAGTCAGACTCTTTCAAACTTTAAAGGTTTCTTTTTTCTTTTTTTATAACGCTCCAGCAGATCTGAACATAATCAATGTCCATAGATGAGGTCTTGATAGAAACAAAGCTTTTGAAGCTTGAAAATCAGCCATGGAGGTCTTACAGCAGCCAACGCCAGCCTGGTTCTGAGGATACACATGACCAGTATTCTAACTTAAAAGGAGCTTACATTTTCAATCAAAACATCACACTTTTCTACTGGCAAAGTATACCAACATTTGAAAAGAAGTTAATTTTTAAAACTAGGACAACCATTTGGAGGATTTCTAAAACCACGGCTGAATTCACCAGTGAAACTGCAAGAACTCTATGCACACACACTCCCATCATGTCTAGTGGCATATGTTGTAGTAGGAATCCTTCATCATGTGACATGGGATTTTCATTATAAAATAATTAGCAAGATACCATAGACACACAATCAGTATTTAGGATTGCTAAAAAACAGCTACTGCTTTCCCTATAATTTTATCAAAATGAAGCTGTACACACAACCAACTTGTCTGAATACACATGGGCTTTCATTACTGTGCCCTACACTTCTGAGTTAGTCATCCATTTACATACAAGGACATGATCTAGGGCAATTCTTGTCCTCCTAGAACAAACATCTTAGAAGGTCATAAGAATCATGGCCTAAAGGTACTTTAAAAATTTTTTTTACTAACTGTAGATAGCCATGGATGTCCAGCTGAGACTAGACTCAATGAAAACCATTCATTTATCTAGATAAATCCCAAATCCAAATAAAACAAAAAAATTCTGCCTTTGGTACGTTCCTCAAAACAGTGTTACCTAGGTGTTTCAAAATGTAGCACATCTGTATCCGGACAACACCCTTATATGACAGGGAAATATCTCTTCTTGTGCTATATGGATCTGAGTCCGACGGTCTACGTCTATACTGTACCTTATTTGCAGGCTAAGCTATATGTCTGTAAGTAGCAAAAACTTTGCTTGGATTCAGGGTGCATCCAAACATCATCTTCTCTTCTAGAAGAGAATGTCTGGCCCCTTTTAGGAAGGAGTCCAGGCTATCTTGTATCACGAAACGTGATACTAGTGCAAGGAGAGCTAGAGTACAAGGCAGCAGCTGGGCTGGGCACACAACGCCTGAGCCTGTCCACAAAGCAGTCCGTGCAGTGCCTGAGTACCAGCTGGACTGCTTCAGAGCCAGCCCAGGAGCTGTTCCAGATGGTCAACAGTCTGGATGACTTGCAAATTTGGCTTGAAATGCAGCTCTGGAGTAACTCATAATTGTACTGCCTAAGACTGTATTGCAGACTAAAGCCCAGACAACCAGGAATAGGCAAAGAGCAGAGAGATTTATAAACACAAATTTAGGTGCAAGGACATCCTTAAACCACATTTCAGCAATCCCAAAGCACTTTATTTTCTACTGCAGGAGCCACAACTCCTATACACTGGTACTGCCCCACAATCTAGTTTCAGAAGCAGTTCTGGAGATTCTTAAAACCAGCATTCCTTCATCCAGCCTTTTAGTCTTGATGTACCTAGGGGTTACCAATGGGAAAAAAGGGCCCTTACGTTGCCAAAGCCAGACAAGTAGAAAAATTTGAGTTCAGACAGTAAAAAGCATATCCGTGTTAAGAGCAAGAGTACAGAGATTCATTTGTAGCAATTAAAGCCTGAACCTGGAGCAAGCGTTAATGCAAATCCATCATTTGCACACATCAGACTAAATTTGGTGCTTTCTATGGGGATTGGTCTCCTCACAGTCACTGAGTCAGCACACTATGAACTGTTTAATAGGCATGATTCAAACTTCACTCTTACAAATATTTCTTTTTTGTGCTTCTCAAGATCTGCATAAGAAACAGATGTATTTGCAAATACTGGTAGTGGTTTATTGTGATTCATTCAGCTCTTGAAAACTATAAAGTAAAAAATGCAGCATCTTTTATAATTTGAAAATACTCAAATGAACCAAGGCAAACCAATGTGGTCAAAGGTTGGACTTGATGATCTCAGAGGTTTTTTCCAACCTAAATGATTCTGTGAAAATATTTTCATCAAACTTAACACAGGAAAACAATACTTCTCATCAAACTAACAAATCTGTCTATGTAATAAACCTGCAACTCTTTCAGATTAGTTCTCACCATTCAGGAGCTTTGAAAAGTATTTTACTTGCTCCATGTGTATTTGCCTGTATGTAGCAGATAAACACAGATGGCCATTAACCAGGCATCTGCAGCAGGTTCAGTTACACTCTGCCCTCAAATCTGTACCTACTCAGACCACATCCAGAATTGCAAATCCCTTTCAAATGTCTGTTTTGATACATGTGTGCATGTACCTAGGCACATTTGTACCTAGGAAGAATACAGATAACATAAAATGTAATACATATATTTCATGTATTTGTTTATAATTATATATACACAGAGTAGAGGTGAATAAGCGTATCAGTCTATACAATGGGCATACAAATATATAAACACAAAACCCATTTAGATTTATGTAAATATATACAGGTAAAGGAAAGTGAATAACCCCCTGACATGGAGACAACACCTGGAATGCTACGGACAGTTTTGGGACATCAGTACAAGACTTGTGGATGTTTAGCCCAAAATAACAGAAAGCAAAGGAGAATCTGTTTGTGCTTCATCCAGTGATCAATGGTTACAGAGAAGAGAGAGCCAAACTCCCATTTGAGGTATGCAGCAAAGGAAAAGAGGCAACAAGACCCAAGAAGCAGCAAGGAAATTTCTGAATAGATACTGAGTACTAGAACAGACTCCCCAGAGAGGTTATGGCATCTCTACCCTTGTGTAGTTTCAGAAATTGGCCACAGAAGTCCCTGAGCGACCTCATTTAACTTTGAAATAACTCCTGCTGCATCATTAGGGTTCTTTCTGGCTTATAGAAGGGAAGAGAGAGAGGGAAGGGTTTGTACTGGCATACATGTTCCTATATTCTAGAAGTGAGGGAAGAGAGGGAATCTCTTGTTAACCCTATCACCAGCAATACGTTTTTCATATCACTACCATAAAAGAGTCCAATGATACTACCCATTACAAAGCAAAGGTAACTCAGTAACTTTCACAGGGTCATTCATATTAGACCTTCACCAGAGAGACAGAATTCAAATGGAAAGCTAAACTCTATGTATGATTTAGGATGCCAAGCCAAGCAATTGTTTTAAATTAACTCTGGGGGGAAAAAAGGACTCCATAGTGTTTAGAGACAGTAAGGATATGCAAAATGCTTGCATGATGAGAAGAGTTGCTTCTATTTTTAGATTTATCTGGTTCTGCAAACATCTATTTAATTTCTGATCTTCTACTGTAACTTAGCTGCTATTCATATGAGCTATTTTAATTTAATAGATCATATCTAGAGAGCTTTATTTGGACTTTCATTCCACGAATCATAAAAATAAGTAAGAATCATCAAACCCAATAGGATTTTTTTCCCCAAGTACAATCTGATCAAAACCAAA